GAAAACTGTTCCCATTTTACAAGTAAGGAATCTGAAGCTTGATACAGTTGGGCTGTTTGCCCAAATAATGACTAAATGGATGAATATGGGTTTAATCAATCTGACTTAAAACCTTTGTGAGCTTTCTTTTCACTTTACTGCCTTTCAGAAAAGTATCTGACTACACCACACACCCTAGCCACTCTGTTCATAAACAAATTCTGCGTGTGTTAGCAGTGCTACTTTATTTCTCAGTCATGTTAAGTTCAGAGATAGTATTTGACAGGTAATTGCTCCTTTCTCCTTGAAACACCACTTCATTCATTTCTCCCTGATTTTCTTCCTGTCTCACTGGGCTGCTCTTCATCTGCTTTGTTGTTTTCTTTCTTTTCTCACCAGTCTTGACATTGGAGTGTCCTAGAGTATGGATTTCTTTCCTTCTCTGCTTTTTCCTTCAGTGGTCTCATCTAGGCTTGTGACTTGAAGTACAGTCTGTATGCCTGCCTCCCAAATATATATGTCCAACCCATACCTCTCCACTGATATCCATATATGTATATTCAAATACTTTACTTGATGTTTCCAATTAGATTTTTTCCCCTCACACACAACTTCATTGAGTTATAAATGAAATATAATAAATGTGTAAATGTACAGTTTGATGAGTTTTGACATAGGTATAAACCCATGAAACCATCACTACCACCAAAATAGTGAACATATCCAAGTTTCTTTGTGCTTGTTTGTAATCAGTTCCTCCTCCTAGCCCCATTTAATCATAGATCTGTGATTACTGTAGATTATTTGTGTTTTTCTGGAATTTTTATGTAAATAAGATCATACAATATAGACTCTCTTTTTGGTTTATTTTGGTCTGGCTTCTTTTACTCAGCATAATTATTTTGAGTTTCATTCATAGTGTATATCAATAGTTCAGTCCTTTTTTATTGCTATTGTATGAATATATAACAATATGTTAATCCCTTCTCTTGTTGGTGAGGATTTAGATTGTTTGTCCAAGTTTTTAGCTATTACCCGTGAAGCTTCTATGCACAAATCTTTTTATGGACATATCTTTTCATTTCTCTTGAGTAAATACTTTGGGATAGATTGGCTAAGTGATAGAGTAGGTATATGTTTACCTTTACAAGAAATAACCAAACTGTTTTTCAAAGAAGTTGTACCATTTAACATTCCCAGTGGCAGTGTATTTCCTCCACATCCTGTCCAGTACTTTCTATCTTTTTAAATTTTAGCTGCTCTGATGGATGTGAAACAGTACCTCATGGTAGTTTTAATTTATATTTTCATAATAAGTAATTATATTGACAGTTTTTCATGTGATTATTTGCTACCCATATACTTTCTGTGAAGTAAAGTGAAAGTTGCTCAGTGGTGTCCAACTCTTTGCAATCCTATGGACTATACAGTCCGTGGAATTCTCCAGGCCAGAATACTGGAGTGGGTAGCCTTTCCCTTCTCCAGGGGCTCTTCCCAACCCAGAGATCCAACCCAGGTCACCCACATTGTTGGCGGATTCTTCACCAGCGGAGCCACAAGGGAAGCTCAAGAATACTGGAGTGGGTAGCCTATCCCTTCTCCAGTGGATCTTCCCAACCCAGGAATTGAACTGGGGTCTCCTGCATTGCAGGTGGATTCTTTACCAACTGAGCTATCAGGGAAGCCCTTTTACTTTCTTTGGTGACATGTTTATTCAGACCCCTTGTTCTTTTTTTTTTTTTCACTCGATTGTCTTCTCATACATCAGTTTGTAAGAGTTCTGTATATATTCTAAATAAAAGTCCTTGTGATATATGTTTCACAAATACTTTCTCCCAGTCTTTGATTTGCCTTTTTATTTTCCTAATATTGTATTTTGAAGAGCAAAATTTTTAATTTTCATTAATTCCAGTCTATTGATTATTTTTCTTATATAATTTGGGCCTTTTGTTTCCTATTTATGAAATCTTTACCAAACCTAAAATCACTAAAATTTTCTCCTGTATTTTCTTTTAAAAGTTTTATAGTTTTAACTCTTGTGATTAGGTCTGTGAACCAGTGGGTCCGTTGCTAGACTTACTAGTCTGTTGGTCTCCATGTCTTTCATGTTGCCTGCATGGTATGGTATTGGTTACTGTGAATGTCTGTATGCTCAGTCGTGTCCAGCTCTTTGCAGCCCCCTGGACTGTAGCCCGCCAGGCTCCTCTGTCCATGGAATGTGCCAAGCAAAAATACTGGGGTGGGCTGCCCTTTCCTACTCCAGGGGATCTTCCTGACCCGGGGGTCTAACTTGCATCTCTGTGTCTTCTGTATTGGCAGGTGGATTCTTTACCACTGCGCCACCCGGGAAGCCCCTGTTGGTTACTCTGTCTTTATAGTAAATCTTTACCAGTGTAAGTCCTCCAGCTTTGTTCTTTTTTAAAACTGTCCTGGCTCTTTTTGGTCCTTAACACTCCCATGTCAATTTTAGAACCAGTTTGTCAATTTCTACCTTAAAAAAAGCTTATTGATATTTTGATTGGGATTCCATTAAATCTGCAGATTGATATGAGAGTAAACTGGTATTTTAACAATTTTGAGCCTTCTAATACAAAAGCTCTTCCCTGGTGGCTTATTGATAAAGAATCCGCCTGCAAATGCAGGAGATGCTAGATTGGGAAGACCCCCAGTAGAAGGAAATGGCAGCCCATTCCAGTGTTCTTGCCTGGAAAATCCCATGGACAGAGGAGCCTGGTAGGCTACAGTCCCTGGGGTTGCAAGAGAGTCAGACACGACTTAGCAACTAAATAACAACAGTAATAGTACAGGAACCAGTATGTATATTATTTAAATCTTAATTTCTCTCATCACCATTTTGGAGTTTTCAAAGTATATAGATTTTATACATCTTTTATCAGATTTACCCCTAAGTCTTTAATACTATCTGGCACTCTTAATTGGTGCTGTGTTTAAAATTTGAATTTCTAATTTTTTATCATCAGTATATACAAATGCCATTAATTTTGTATATTGGCGTTTTATTCAGAAACTTTGCTAAACTCTCTAATAGGTTTTTTGTAGATTCCATACGATTTTCTACATAGACAAGCATGTCATCTGTAAATACAGTTTACTTCTTTCTTTTCAGCCCATATGCCTTTTATTCTTTTTCTGCCCTGTGACACTAAGAACTCCAGTATGATGTTGATTAGAATTGGTGAAAGTGGATATTCTTGCCTTTTTCCTCATCTTAAGTGAAAAGCATTCAATCTTTTGCCATTAACTTTTGATGTTAGCTATGTTTTTTGTAGATGCCCTTTATCATCCAGTCTTATGACTATAAATACCATTTTTATGTTTACCATTCTAATATATACGTCCAACCCAAACCTATCCACTGACAGTTATGTTTTTGTTTATCCAGTTGGTTGATAACCCCACTCAAGTTTTTATGTGTCTCAAACTTAACATATTCAAAACTAAACCTCTGGTTCTCTATATATTCTCAGCTTTCTTCTTCCAGTGTTTGCAATCTTCAGTAAGTGGCAGTGCCATCCTTCCACTTCTTCAGGCTGAAACCTTAGAATCACTCTTCCTTTTATTTTTCTCCCCTTCTCACACTCCTCTAAGGAATATGCCAACAAATCCTGTTCCTTCTATTTTCATAAGAATTATGACCACTCTCTAAGCCACCTTCACTGCTTACCTTGATTATTGCCTCCTAATTGAACTGCCTGTTATTTCCCTCTTTCCCTTGGCGGCATCTTAGCACAGCCAGACTAGTCCTTTTGAAAGTAAAGTATATTTTAAGTGATATAGTTTTAAGGTTCAGAAACAGTGATTTCTTCTACTGATAAAAAAAAGATGATGAAAGAAATATTTCTTAGGATTTCTGAAGGATAAGCCCAGCATATTAATCAATATGCTAGAAAATTAGGTTATATTAATAACTTAGAATATGGAAACTTTTGTTTTCTACTTTGGTCTCTTCCTTTTCTTTTCTCTTCAAATGATTAAATGAGATTATCACTATCAGTGTAGGATTGTCTTGCTTTTTTGCTCTGCTGTGTTTTTTCTATTTCTAAAGTATATTAATATTAAAACCTAACATTTGAAAAAAGAACAATTTGAGGGATAATAAATACATTTGATCTTGACTGCCAACTCCATTGTTTATCGTCACTGCCTGGCGCAGTATGTGGAAAAGGAATAGCTGTGTCTGGAATAGGTGAGGGGATGGGAGTAGTGTATTTGCCATCTCTATATTGCATTTATAGTGTAGGCAGATTTTAAATGCTAATTTGTTTTGGCAATTGTTGCTTCAGTTTTTAGTGAGCCTTTATATTTTTTTTGACAAAGTACGTTGAAACAACGGATAAAGAATTAAATCTTAAGGACAAATATAAAATCTTTTAAAAACTGAATGAAAAATTACATACAAACTCTGGTTTTATTGCCAAATAACTTTATAGGATGTATATGTTAATTTTTTTTGAAAAAGATACTGAATAATCTTTAGATGATTGGTTTAACTTTAGAATTAAATTATTTAACTCAGTAACACTAAGAGACTAAGAGTCAGCAAGGACTATGTGTTAAGTAATCTTTTGCGGGGAGGGGATTTTGGGGTATAATGTACGGACATTGAAATTTATCCTTAGGGGTTGTATAGTCCTGTGTGTTTGGGCAAATGTATATAGCAGCGTAACCAGTATCCAGTATCACATTTGAGATAGAATATTTCCATCGCCCCCGTAAGTTACCTTGTACTCTAACTAGAAGTTTAACGTAAAAATGACCTTGAGTAAATGCGGAGATCTAAATATATTTTTTTTGAATATCATAAACATTTAAAGAATAAAAATTCCTTTAAATGACACTGAAAGTAATTTTAAGGATATGTCCTTCCAGCATTATCGTGATACCACTTCCAGCCACACTGTTCCAAGAAAATTATCGTTTCTGCTTAGCTTCTTCAGCAAAACAGATACTTTAAAATAATAAAGCATCATGTTCAAATACTTTATCTTTGAATATTACAGAAGAAAACTCCACAAGACAGAGTGAGGATTTGGGAAGCCAGTTTACAGAAATTTTCATTAAGCAGCAAGAAAATGTCACTCTTCTCTTGTCTTTATTGGAGGTAAGTAAAGAACTTCGCTGTTTTTGTCATCCTAATAAGCTGCTTTTGTTGCCCTTTTGGGTGTTATTGAGGAAGCAATACATATGTTTCTTCTTAAGATAGTGAAATTTGTTATATCATTGCAAGAGATTCACATGTTTGTTTTAAGACCTATATAATCTCTTCAAATACTGTCTGCTTATTTCCATTTTTACAAAGTACAACTACATCTAGTCAATAACAGTTTAATCAGTTTGATCATTTACAACTTTTCTTTTTATTTCTTAAATTACTTTTTTAAAGTTTGCTAAACTCTGTTTGTTTGCTTATAGTTTTTGGTACCATACTACTAATTGAAAAAAAAAAAGTTTTCCTTGAAAATATGAATTACAAATGTTAAATATTTTGAATTCTTATATTGTAGGAGTTTGATTTCCATGTTCGCTGGCCTGGCGTGAAGCTTCTTACTTCTCTTTTAAAACAACTAGGGCCTCAGGTGCAGCAAATTATTTTAGTCAGTCCCATGGGTAAGTGACTCAGCTTCCTTATATTATTTTGATTTAAAAGTAAGGATCACGGACTTCTCTGGCAGTCTAGTGGTTAAGACACTGCACTTCGAATGCAAGGGGTGTGGGTTCTATCCCTGGTCAGGGATCTAAGATCCCACATGCCTCATGACAAGGCCAAAAAAAAATTTTTTTAAGTGAGGATCATAAAAAACAAAACAAGCAAAAATAAAACAAAAATAACAAGAAAATAAAAGTAAGGATTACTTTTATAACTGAAATGTGTTAATAAATGTTCATAATTTGAATCACTATTGGTATTTTTGATCTGCCAGTGTTTTACACATGGTTCTATGTTCTAGGTGTTTCAAGATTGATGGACTTATTAGCAGATTCCAGGGAAGTTATACGTAATGATGTAAGTTAAATTTTTTTTAAAAAGCCTAAGAATATGCAACTTTTATTTTCTCTTTGCAAATGAAATCTTTGTTGACCCTTTTTCAGAGTTATAAGAAATTAGATTTGGAAAATTGGGTTAATGGTTTAGACCTTTTAAAGTTATATATAAGGCCCTATTATTTCTTTGTTTTCTGCCTGTTCAGTATTTTGGTTAGACAAATGATTTTGCTATTCAAATTTATGCCTTCTACAAGTTTAGGATTTCTTCCATTTCTTTCTGAAAGGCTGTACTGATCCCAGACTGCCTCCAGAGAGAGTACAGGAAACATCCCTAGACATTGAACTGCATAAATTTAACAAAGTGCTGCATTTGAACTCTCCACCCTTAATTGATTAAATATATTTCAAAGGATTTTCCTTGTAATCTCTATTTAACTCACATGATTTGCTCTGGAGTTAATTCTTCATTCTGATTTATTTTAATATTTGCATATACATTTGAGTATTTTACATTGACCAGTACTGTTTTGTTTTGATGCAATACTGTTTGCTGCTTGACCATTTTTTTCTGTTATCTACAACTTGACCAAAACCATAATACTTTAGATGGCAATTGGAAAAATCTTTAAAATTAAACTTTAGAGCTAGGAGATCTTATCAAGCTAATTAAGGCTCCATATTTACACTGAGAGACCCAGGATGCACAGAAGCCTTGTGACTTGTTCTTTGTTAGGGACATCTTATTCATCTATTTGTTGCACCTGGCCTTGTGCCTTCCTCATCTTAAGTGCTAGTAAATACCATTTGGATTGTTCTTGGTCTCATAACTGGTTCATGGCAAAGTAAAGACAAAACTGAAATGCTCTTGATTTCTTATCCACATAGACAGTATTTTTAGTTTTGTATTTAAAACTTTGTGGTATATATGTGAATGCAGTATTAAAAGTGATGAAATAATATAGTAATGAAACTCATGAGAAGGGCTTTTTAATTTATTTTTTAATTGGATGAAAATTGCTTTAAAATGTATTGGTTTCTGGGGACAATTTTTTATTCCTTAATATTCTTTTAAGAATTGTGTACCTATTAGGAGTTTTGAGTGTCTTTTCTTGACTAAAATACTATGTGTCTTAAACCTGAATTTGTTGTTCTAGTCCTTTCTTGGTCCTCAGTTCAAATAAGATACATACCAATTAATAAATAATTATTACATACATACAAACTAATTAATAAAGAAATTCTTTCTATATTGTTATTATTGTCATTTATTTTCATTTTCAGATATAATTTGGTGTGTGTATATAAGTGCATTATCTTGGTTTTTAAATATAGCACTTCTTTTAACTATCAACTGTTTTTCTTTTTTCCTGCTCCTAACCTTTTTTCTTATCTTTATTTGAGACAGATAAAATGATTCTCTATTTATGTTGGTTTTCATTAATTTTATAATTAGGGATTAAGTTATTTTTTTGCTATAATGTTTATTAGATTTTGGAGTTTTACAGCCATCTTTCCTTTGGTTTAGAAAGCTATGGTACATATACACAATGGAATATTACTCAGCCATTAAAAAGAATACATTTGAATCAGTTCTAATGAGATGGATAAAACTGGAGCCCATTATACAGAGTGAAGTAAGCCAGAAAGATAAACACCAATACAATATACTAACGCATATATATGGAATTTAGAAAGATGCTAACGATAATCCTATATGCAAGACAGAAAGAGACACAGATGTATAGAACAGACTTTTGGACTCTATGGGAGAAGGTGAGGGTGGGATGATCTCAGAGAATAACATCGAAACATGTATATTATCAAGTGTGAAACAGATCACCAGTCCAGGTTGGATGCAGGAGACAAGTGCTCAGGGCTGGTGCACTGGGATGACCCAGAGGGATGGGATGGGGAGGGAGGTGGGAGGGGGGTTCAGGATGGGGAACACATGTAAATCCATGGCTGATTCATGTCAATGTATGGCAAAAACCACTACAATATTATAAAAAAGTAGCCTCCAACTAATAAAAATAAATGAAAAAAATAAAAATAAAAACAGATTCATTTGAATTTTTTGTGCATACTTACTATTGAGCATTATGTAATAAACAGCATAATATACCATACAGCAATCAGAAGAAACTAACAGACACCCCTGGCGATCACTAGTGGCTCTCTGTGATTGCCTAGAATAATACACTGCTTCCCCTCGCTCTTTTGTATTTTTTTCTTTCTTATCCTTCTTTTAAAACTTTTATTTCCTTCTTTTCTTTCTTTTTAATATTTCTCATTGCATTCAGTGATAGTTACCAACATAACTAAATCTCTCAGGGAAGCCTATTGGTAAAGATTTTTAGTCTCTGTTCTATATTTGAAAAATTGATTTTGATCTGGGTTTAGAGAATTAGTTGGTCATTTATCATAGGTGCACTGAAATATATTTATTCAAGTTAGTGCTTAAAAATTAGTGAGAAAGGTTGAGAAAACTCTAGGTACCAGCTCACTTCTAAGTGATAGTCTGTAATTGCATTCTTTAGTTTATTATTATGAGAAATGTAAGCACACACAAAAGTAGAGAAAACACAGACAAACCCATCCCCAAACCCCTTAATTTTCAAGATTTTATTATACTCGCTTCATCTACCCCTCCCCTCACCATTCTTTATTTTTTAAAATTTGTTTCTTCTCCTTTATTTTTAACTGGAATATTTAAAAGGAGTCAACCTATCTGATTTCACTATTTCTGTACAGTTTAACTACTGCATACTTCAGTATACATGTAATGTGTATTTATTTCCTTATATAACTACAATGCCATTATCACATTTAATGAGATAACACGTTTGTCTTAGCCCTCAGTTTAAATAAGATAACTATTCTGTACTCAAGTTTCCCAGTTGTCTCATAAATGTCCTTCACAGTTGGTTTCCAAATCAGGATCCGGACAAGGTTCTCTCATTATTTTTGATTGTTAATGTCAGTTACTTTTCTAAAGGCCTTGATTAGGTTTTGGTTCACCTCTTTGCTTTGATGTTCCCTGGGTGATGCAGTTTGCAACACATTAGGAAATGAAATACCTGGCTGTCTCACTTGTATGATTAGTGGATTTGATTCAGGTGATGACATTCAGATCCCTTCATGGATCCTGTCATCCATTATAGCCTATCATTCATTAATGAACATTGCCTGAATCAGTTATTTTGTTAAGAGTTTCAAAATGATGATTTCTAGAACTTGTCATTCTTTTACATTTATTCAGCTGTAATCTTCCTCAAATAGGAAGTTTGCTTCATGGGACAATGGATTTTATTACCCTGAAAGGAAGGATAAATCAGTAAATCCCTTTAATTGCTAGTTTTTAAAGTCAGGAATTGGTGCCCACATACTTTCAATGACCAATGAGTGTATACTTTCATTTTCAATAGCATTTTCTTGGATATGTTTGAATAGAGGAATACCTTTCATAATAGGTAAAAGAAACTAATATGCAGTGAAAACTTGGGCTCTGTGGGGGCTATTTTATTTCCTTTAGTCCTCATAAAAACCCTCTGACAAAGACACCATCCTCGTTTTACACATGGGTGTACTGAGACTTACATTATATAAATTACATGCAGAATTTATGTAATTTGCTTCAAGTTGTACAAGCAGTAACCAGAACTTTAAAAAACCCACTGTATCTAATTCATAGCCTTACTGTTCTTCCACTGTATTTCTTCCTCCTTTGTTAGCAGTTAAACTCATTAAGTAGGAGAATTAGACGTAACCACTTTGGCTTTCTCTCTTGTGTTAATGTTGAGAGTGGACAGTCAGGAAGATGAGTAGGACAAGTGTAATAAGGCTGTGGGTAGTTTTTGTCTTGTGTGAATACTGACCTGCCTTGTATGGACAGCCAACAGCTAATTGGCCTCTTAGGCACTTTTGAATTACCTAGTTGCTATTCCTCCTCCTCTAAGTAATATCTTCTTTTTTCATTAAATATTTTCTATCTCTTTGACCATTATGATATTGTTAGACTCACTGTGAGCTTGTAAAATTCTTGTTTGATAGTGAAATAAGCAGAAATGGTTAACAGTGAGTTTTTCTTGAATGATTAAGTGGTTGCAGATATGTAAACTAAATCTGGCTCAATAGGAACTGAGTAAAACTAAAAATCGGAAGCAAAGACTACAGAGAATTGTTTTGTACTAGACATGCTATTTATGAGACATGAATTCTCTTCCTTCCTTCCTTTTTTTTTTTTTCCAGCTGTCAACTTTTAGAATTAAATCTGGAGAGTTTGCAGGCTGAATAATTACAAGAATAGTTGAACTTGCCCTGCTAGAATGTGGTGGTGTTTATTGGCTTATATTATTGATTTCACGATTTCTTATTGTTATATTGTGAAGTACATACAGAGGCATTACTGAGATAGATACAATCACTTTCAGCTCTCTTAGACCACAGTGAAAGCTATGTAATGACTGATGAATGTGCAAGAACTGTATATTTGTATTGAATGGGGAAAAAAGAACTGAATTAGGAATTGCTAGACATGGATTCTAGTCAGGGGTCTGTCTTTTGACATCTGTACAGCTTAGGGACGCAAATTGCTCACCTTCTCTATCCTTTTTTTCCCCATCTGTAAAGCAAAGGAGTTGGGCTTGTAAAATTCCTGCCACTTCTAAATCTCTGTGATTTTTAAAGTAATCTTTAAATGTCTTAAAAAAGTTGTATTCCACTCAACATTATCTTTCTTCCTCCATAAGGGCGTCTTACTACTGCAGGCTCTAACAAGAAGCAATGGAGCAATCCAGAAAATTGTTGCTTTTGAAAATGCTTTTGAGAGACTACTGGACATTATTACAGAGGAGGGGAACAGTGATGGAGGTATAGTATGAAGAGATTTATTTGAGAAGGTCCCTTTTGCTCTCATTGAATTGTTAACTTCTCAGGAATGCAACTGAAGGGAGAAAGGAGGACATATGCCTTTTTTTGTTGTTTTGTTAGATGTTGATAGAGGCTTTCCTGAGGGAGGGTGGATGAATTCTTTCTTTCTTCCTCTGTGGTTTTTTGAGTATGGATTTCTTTTTATTTATCCTGCTTAATATTTCTTAGGCTGTGAGAATCTGTTGGTGTCTTTCTTCGTTTCTGGAAATCTCAGCTATATGTCTTCGAATACTGCTTTGTCACATTTTTTTCAGATCTTCCTAAACTCAGAGTCAGTTCTGTCATCTGACTAGATTCTCCCCTTATCATCGTGCTTTCTCTTCTGTGTTTTCTTTTTATCTTAACAGATTTTCTTCTGGATTGTTTCTTCTGATCTATTTCCTATTTCAATGATTCTCTCTTCACCTTTATTTGATCAGCTTTTGCATGTATCATTGAGTTTTACATTTTTCTTTTCTATAAATTCTGTCTGATACTTTGGAAAATTTGCTAGGTAACTTTTTACAACTTCCTTTTTTCTGCATATATTTTCAATTTATCTTTTCATTTCTTTAAGTGTAAGAAACAGTTATTTTACAGTCTCTGATAATCCTAGTATTTGAAGTCTTGGTGGGTCTGGTACTTTGCTCTACTGGTTTTTACACATGGTACAATGTTTTTTGTGTACATGGCTTTCTTTCACTGTGTTGTGTGGCGTACTTAAGAGAATTAGTTACAGGAATTTGAATCCTAGGATAAAGGTAATTTCTTGCATAGAAAATGTGTTCATCTCTGGCAAGCCCTGGGGTTACAATTTATCTGGGATCACCTTATTCCAGATTGAAGGCTTGATATTTCCTGGACCATTCAGGCAATGCAAACCCAGGCCAATATTTTTGAGTACTGGTTAACTTTTCACTGTTTGCCCCCTGGGGATATGTCCTTTTGAGGTTCTGGTTTATTAGGTGAAGAGTTTTCTGTTAGATTCCTTTCCTACCTTTTGTATACCCTTGGCTTTGATTTATTTTCCTTCCGTCCCATGAGACTGTCAAAATGAGAAGTTTAGATTTATCAAAATGGAGAGATGTGCTGCCAGCCCAAAGGTACTTTCCTACGTGTCTAGCTGTGCAGACACCCGTTTGCTTGTCAGTGTTAGCCTGCTGCACTCTCACTCCATTGCTCTTAGACTTTTTTGTTAGTTCAGCATTTTTAGATATTTTTAGTGAGAAATTGATTGAAAAAACCCAGCACCACCAGAGTCAGAGGAGAAAAATGAGTATATTTGCATTCACTGAACTGGAGTTAGCAAGTACCATAGTATGGTTGAGGCTTCTCTCGTGGCTCAGACGGTAAAGTGTCTGCCTGCAATGCAAGCAACCCGGGTTCGATCCCTGGGTTGGGAAGATCCCCTGGAGAAGGAAATGGCAACCCACTCCAGTATTCTTGTCTGGAGAATCCCATGGACAGAGGAATCTGGTAGGTTACAGTCCATGGGGTCGCAAAGAGTCGGACACGACTGAGCGACTGAGCAATCAGCGATAACATGGTTGAGAGTAGCCTTACTTATTTGGAGGGCAGGGCCACATTGGTGATAAAGATTTGAGTCATTAGAATATAGATGAAACAAAATTAGATAAGCAGAAAAGATTGGATGAGTTACTTAACGGCTTCCCCAATGGTTCAGTGAGTAAAGAATCCACCTGTAATGCAGAGAGACACAGGTTCAATCTCTGGGTAAGGAAGATTCCCTGGAGAAGGAAGTGGCAACCCACTCCAGTATTCTTGCCTGGAAAATCCCACAGATAGAGGAGCCTGGCAGGCTATATAGTCCACAGGGTTGCAAAGAGTCAGACATGGACTGAGCACAAATGCACAGAGAGTTATCTTACTGAGATTTTATTTCATTACTTAAATTAATAATGAGATTAAGCATATTTTCATGGGTATGTTGTTGTTCAGTCACTGTCATGTCTGACTCTGCGACCCCAAGGACTGCAGCATGCCAGGCTTCCTATCTTTCCCTATACCCCAGAGTTTGCTCAAACTCATGTTTTTTAAGTTTTTAAGCTTTTTATGTTCAAGTTTTCATGTTTTTAAGTTGGTGCATCCAACCGTCTCATCCTCTGTCACCCCTTTCTTCTTCTGCCCTCAGTCTTTCCCAGCATCAGGGTCTTTTCCTATGAGTCAGCTCTTTGTATCAGGTGGGCAAAGTATTGGAGCTTTAGCTTTAGCTTCAGTTTTTCCAATGAATATTCAGGATTGATTTCCTTTAGAATCGACTGGTTTGATCACCTTTCAGTCCATGGGACCTTCAAGAATCTTTTCCAGCACCACAGTTTCAAAGCGTCAATTCTTTGGCACGCAGCCTTTTTTATGGTCCAACTCTCACATCTGTACATGATTACGGGGAAAACCATAGCTTTGACTATATGCTTTGTCGGCAAAGTGATGTCTCTGCTCTTTAATATGCTCTCTAGGTTTGTCAGAGCTTTTCTTCCAAGCAAACATCTTTTAATTTTGTGGCTGCAGTCACCGTCTACAGTGATTTTGGAGCCCAAGAAAATAAAGTCCGTCACTGTTTCCGCTTTCTCCCCATTTATACACCATGAAGTGGTGGAACTGATTGCCATGATCTTAGTATAGTCACTGTCTATTTTTGTGTATCCTTGAACCCTCTGAATTACCTTCTTGCCCATTTTTATGTAAGATCATTTTTCCATTTCCAGTTGATTACTTGGAAGCTCTTATATACGCTAGACACTAATCATTTGTTGATTATACATGTTTTAGTTATCTTCTCTTAGTCTGTTTATAGTGTTTCTATTAAAGTTTAAAATTTTAATATAATCATGTGTTAGTTTTTTTATAGTTTATGGGTTTTGTTTAAGAAATCTGTCTCTATCTCATGGTCATAAAGAGAGTTTCCATCACTTTCTTGTACTAAAGGCTTTAAAAATTTGTCTTTTGCATTTAATTAATTGGGATTTTTTTTTGAATGATGGTATAAAATTTGTGATCAAATTTCATACATGTGAAGGTCTGTTTCTGAGTTCTCTGTTCTATTCCATTGGTGTTTGTCTAGTTCTACACTAAAACCATACTTTCTTAATTACTAAAGCTTCATAATAATCTCCTATTAGAATATTGAAAGAATTTCCTATCTTGGCCCTCTTCATAACTGTCTTACTGTCTGTTTTCTTTATTCTTCATTTGAGTGAAACTTAATAGCTAGTCAAGTTACCTGAAAATCCCAGTTGGGATATTTATTGAAAATATACAGATTTAAGATTAAGGAGAATCATCATTGACTTTTTCTCTCCATGAACCCAGGTATATCTTTTAATCTATTCAAGCCTTCTTTTTATCTCTTTCAGTAATGTTTATAATTTAAACACAAAAGTTGTATACCCTTTTTTATTAGATTCATTCCTAGGCGTCTTATACTTTTTGTTACATATGAATGAAATCTTTCTTTTTAATTACATTTTCAAATTGGCTACTATTTGATTTTTTATATATTCATTTTGTATCCAATTATCTTATTAAATCATCAGTTCTCATTGGACTTGCTGTGTAGATATGATATCTTCTGCAAATAATGTAATCCTTTTTTCTTCCTTTCATTTCTTATACCAGTTTTCTTGTCCTCTTTATCTCATCACACAGACTAGTATCTTTGGTGGTGGTTTAGTCGCTAAGTGGTATCCAACTCTTGTGACCCCATTGACTGTAGCCTGCCAGGTTCCTCTCTTCTTGGGATTCTCTAGGCAAGAATACTGGAGTGGGTTGCCGTTTCATTCTCCAGAGGATCTTCCTGACCCAAGGATTGAACCCGGGTCTCCTGCACTGCAGGCAGATTCTTTACCATCTGAGCCACCAGGGAAGCCTATTAGAATCTTTAATACAGGGTTAGAATAATTCCTGACTTTAATGAGAATGTTGATGTTTCACCTTTAACTCTGATTTTTGCTGAGAGTTTTTATCAGGAGTGAGCCTTGAAGAAAAGAAAGAGGAGTGAATAGGTGGATCACAGGATTTTTAGAGCAGTGAACCTATTCTGTGTGATACTATAATGGTGGGTACATAAAATTAATACATATGTTGAAACCTATAGAACTTACAAAGAATGAGCCCTAATGTAAACTATGACCATGAGTTAATAATGTATCAGTATTCATTCATCAGTCTAACAAATGATGAACAGTACCTCACGCTAATGCTAAATAGTAAGAGCAGTGGACCCTGGCAGGGAGAGAGTATGTAGGAGTTCCCTATATTTGTTGCTCAGATTTTCTGTAAACCTGAAGGTGCTCTGGAAAAATAGTCTTAATTTTTAAAAAGCAATTAATTCTTAATAATCACGCAGCTCAGCTAGTAGGTGAAAAGTGTGGGTATATACACAGAGGAACCTACTCACTATGAGCATCCACTCTTCGCCATAGGGTTTTCAGAGGAAACAGAGCTCTTTGCCTAGGAAGCCTGAGGAGTGACCAGACATCTGTAAGGAAAACCAGGGAGGGAGTCATCAGTGTTTCAGAAACCAAGAGAGGAGGAAGTTTCAAGGAAGAGACACTTGAGACAACAATGTCAAGTGCTTCTTAGAGATTACAATGACTGATTCATTTAACAAATATTTAGTAGTGACCTGCCTTGTATATGGGGCTTCCCTGTGGCTCAGCTGGCACAGAACCCACCTGCAATGAGGGAGACCTGGGTTCAATCCTGGGTTGGGAAGATCCCCTGGAGAAGGGAAAGGCTACCCACTCCAGTATTCTGGCCTGGAGAATTCCATGGACGATACAGTCCATGGGGTCGCAAAGAGTCAGACCTGACTGAGCAACTTTTCACTTTCACTTTACCTTGTGTATGTCTGATATTTTATCTGTGTATCTACTGAGGATACAGAGATGAGTAGGACATTCACAAATTCCTGTCTTCATGAGTTAAAATCTAGTGGAGAAGACAGATGCTACATACTAATGAAAGGCGCAGGCTACTGTGAGAGCATGTAGCTGGTGATCCTAATCCAGTCATTGGATCTCACTAATCATCCCTGAAGAAATGACGTGTAAGCTGAATGTGAAGAAACAGTGTGAGTTACTGAGATGAGTGGCTAGTCAAAAAGAAAAGCCAAGAGATCCCTGGGGGACCTGAGGGAGAGCAGGCTCACTGCCGTGCATGCTGAGGAGATGCTGCACAGGGAGATTTTTCTTTTTAAAATGTTTGGGGGTTGAATTTTCCTTCAGGTTCTATCAGCCTTCACATTCCCGTTTTTTACATTCTTTCCCCAGGTATCGTAGTGGAAGATTGTCTGATTCTGCTCCAAAACTTGTTAAAAAACAACAATTCCAATCAAAATTTTTTTAAAGAAGGCTCATATATTCAGCGTATGAAACCTTGGTTTGAAGTTGGAGATGAAAATTCTGGCTGGTCCGCCCAGAAAGTGACTAATCTGCACCTAATGCTACAGGTACACTGTCCTCAGACATAAATGTGATAATTTTGACAACAATCCTTTCAAAGAAAAAAAAAAATGGCTTGCATTTGGTCAATCCAGGATGTTGAATTGGTTTCAGGTGGGCTTTAAAAAAAAGTAAGAACGTTCTGATATGGAGATTTACAGTTATATTTAGAGATAGAGATTCCCTCCCTCCCACACATACGCTTTGTTTCAATAACTGTTAACATCTGACAATATTGTTTCATCTTTTATTCCCCTCTCTTGCCCTGTTGGGTTATTTTAAAGCATATCCAAGCATACAGTTTCATGATAGGTTTTGCATTAGAAAATAGTAAGTTAGCTTGTTGAATTTTTTAAATCTACTTTCTTCATTTAAGGTTCTAATATCATAAATTTTAGCATTCAGAATATTAAGTTCAGCATAGAAATTCATTCAATAAACGTTTACTGAGAGCCAGACACTGGATGCTTGGAATTGGATGATGATGTCCCTACCCTCAAAGATTAATAGTCTTGAGTTTTACTTTTACTGCAAATTAAATTAACAAGTCACATGTAATTTCATTTAAGCTCTGTGGTGAAAGCTTGGTGGTGATGGATAGTAAAAGTGAAGACAGTAGGATCCCAAATGAATTCTGTATCAGATAATTATGACATTTTTGAAGTATTTTATTTATTTATCCCATTATTAAATTACCCTTCTCCAAACCCTTAAGTTTACACCCGTTTCCTAACTTACTCTCTAGTGATTCTTGTGGATCTTTGAATGTCCCTATGTTATTAAAGTTGTATTCCTCAAAACTAGGTGGTTAATCAGACTGATGATTAGAATCTGCATATTGTTGCCTTCTCTGGGAGTTTCCCACATAGGGTTGATTGATAATTAGGGTGACCATATGCCCCAGTTTACCAGGTCAGTATTCATTTTGTAATTACTAGTCGTGTCCTCTTTTACTTCAGAAGTGTCCCAGTTTGGATAATAAAGTATATTTAGCCTATTTAAAATATGCCTTAAAAACTGTTAGGGAAATATTTTACAGGAGAACATGGGCAGAATCTATTTATATTCCCAACTTCATTGTTTCTATTTTTACATGTCAGTATCACACATTTCAAGGCTATTAGTTTTTAATGTTTCAGAAATAGTGTCCCAGTGGTAAACTTGATATCTGCTCAACACTGCTTTCTTAACAAAGGAAATTCCTCTAGAAAAATGATTTTCAAAATGTGATTAGAGAAAATGACAGGTTCTCATGATGTACCAGTTACATATATATTTCCTTCCAGAGTGAAAATCTAAACTGCTTGAGGAGCTTACTCATGTTTTATAGCTTAGGGTACTACCTAAAGAATTAACTTTTGCAAAAAGTAGTTGTTAACAAGAAAGTCGCTTGTTAAAAAGGAAAGCACTATTTTACCAAAAAAAAATTTAGAATAGAATGCTGCATATAAACAGAAAAACAGTATTCTAGTTCTATATAGAAGTAAGTTAGTTCTTTAAGTATTCTTCTAGAAAGTGAATAAACTAGATAGTAGTTATTGAAGAACATAAACTTCAAAATAAACTGAGTTTAACTCACTGTAATGTATTCTCAATTCAAAGACGGAGTAGTTGATGTATTTCATAGCTTCACAGGCCATAGATTATCTTCTGCTTTTCAAACTGTTAGAAAACTCTTTCTTGATAGCTTTATTGCTTATATTTAGGATTGCTTATATTTCAAGTTCTCGGTTATATAACAAATGAAAATGCATTGTAAATAGTGACAAACAATCCTTTTTGGGTATGTATGTCCTAACTGGAATTATTCATCATCCCAGTTGTAATTATGATAGAATTCTAAGCCACTAAAAATTGAAATTGATCCACTTGAGGATTGTTCATTTAAATTTCGCAAATTAAATTTGAAGAAAGCATATTTTTGAAAATTTTTTAGTTGTGAAACATTTAAATTTTTTCCTGGAATGATAATTTCATGACTATTTGTACCTGTAGGAATTCCTTCTATTCCATTTTTTGGACCAATACTGTCATTAACTCTCAGAAAACTCATTACCTAATGAGAGACTCCTTTTTGTTGTTGGATATTTCTATTTATGAAAAGCTTAATCTATATAATGAGTCAAAATCTGCCTGGAAATAACATCTACAAACTTCCCCTGGTTTTTCCCTTTGGGAAAATATAAATCAATTCATTGTGATATTTTGCATATTTGTAACATATTTGAATATTACTATTGGTTCTTCACTTATTTTCTTATGTTATAAGTAATCTCTTTCTTCAGCCATCCCTCCCACTTCTTTGTTATCTAGGAATGTGTTTATGTCATCAGTTAAGATACCCAACTGCTGTGAGATGACATTAAGGAATACTGGGTTTCCCTCATAGCTCAGTTGGTAAAGAATCTGCCTGCAGTGCGGGAGACCTGGGTTCGATCCCTGGGTTGGGAAGATTCCCTTGGAGAAGGAAATGACAACCCACTCCAATATCCTTGCCTGGAAAACCTCATGGAGAGGATCCTGGTGGGCTGCAGTCCATGAGATCGCAGAGTGGGGCACAACTGAGTGACTAACACTTTGTTACTTACTTGAGGAATTATTGTTGATTTTGTTAGGTATAATAATGGCATGATGTTTATATTTTTAAATCTTTTTATTGGAGGCATATAGAAATATTTATGGGAAAAATGACACATAATTTGGTGCTTGCTTTAAATACAGGTATATCTCAGTTTACTGTGCTTCACTTTATTGTGCTTTGCAGACAATTGCACTTTTTACAAATTGAAGGTTTGCCGCAACCCTATGTCAAGCAAGTCTGTTAGCTTTTGTTCACCAGCACTTTCTCACTTCCTGTCTCTGTGTCACATTTTGGTAATTTTCACAGTATTTCAAACCTTTTCATTATTATTTGTTATGGTGACCTGTGATCAGCGGTCTTTGCTGTAAGTGTTGTAATTGTTCTGTGGCACCACAAATCACACCCATGTAAAATGGACAACTTAATCGATAAATGTGTGTGTGTGACGGTTCCTCTAACTGACCATCCCCTGTCTCCCTCTCCTCGGGTCTCCCTATCTGCTGTGACATAAGTGTTGAAATTAGACCACTTAGTAACCTTACAGTGGCCTGTAAGTGGCCTCTAAGTGTTCAAGAGAAAGAAGAGGCACATGTCTCTCACTCTAAATCAAAAGCTAGAAATGATGAAGCTGAGTAAGGAAGACATATTGAAAGGGAAGATAGGCTGAAACCTAGGCCTGTTGTACCAGTTAGCCAAATTGTAAATCCAGAGGAAGAGTTATTGAAGGAAAGAATAGTGAATACATGAGTGATAAGAAGCTGAAGCAGCCTTATTGCTAATGTGGAGAAAACTTTAGTGGCCTGGATAAGATGATCAAACCAGTCATAACATTCCCTTAAGCCAGAGCCTACTCTCAAAAAAAGCCATAACTCTCTTCAATTCCATGAAGGTTGAGAAAGGTAAGGAAGCTGCAGAAGAAAAGCTTGAATCTAGCAGAAGTTGGTTCATGAGGTTTAAGGAAAGAAGCCATCTTCTTCATAACATAGAAGTATTAACACAGGTGAAACAAGTGCTGATGTAGAAGCTGCAGCAAGTTAATGAAGGTGGCTACACAAAGCAACAGGTTTTCAATGCGGATAAAACAGCTTCCTCTTGGGAAAAGATGCCATCTAGGGCTTTGATGGGGCTTCCCAGGTGACGCAGTGGTAAAGAATCCGCTTGCCAGTGCAAGAGATGCAGGAGATGTGGGTTCAGTCCCTGAGTTGGGAAGATCCCCTTGAGGAGGAAATGAAAGCACAGGATATTACAAAAACTCAGTTGATGAAGTAGTGACAGGGTTGAGAGGAGATGGCTCAGACAGTAAAGAATCTGTCTGCAGTGCGGAAGACCTAGGTTTGATCCCTGGATCAGGAAGATTCCCTGGAGAAGGTAATAGCAACCCGCTCTAGTATTCTTGCCTGGAGAATTTCACAAATGTAGGAGCCTGGCAGACGGCAGTCCACGGGGTGGCAAAGAGTCAGACACGACTGAGTGACTAACGCTTTCACACCAGTTTTGAAAGAAGTGAGTAAAATGCTGTCAAAGCATTGCATTCTATAGATCTGGCTGAGCAGTTCGGGGAATCCATTACACAGGTTTTCTATTCATACAGATTAAATTTGTCTCAAGACTTTCCAAGTCTCTAAAAGACAGATGTTGTGTTCTCTTTCTTTCGCAGCTTGTTCGGGTACTAGTATCTCCCAACAACCCTCCTGGTGCTACCAGTAGCTGCCAAAAAGCTATGTTCCAGTGTGGCTTACTGCAGCAGCTTTGCACTATCCTAATGGCCACTGGAGTTCCCGCTGATATCCTGACTGAGGTAAACCAAGTGATGGCAGAAGCCACTCTGTGGAAGCTGGGATCAGGAAGCCTAGGAAGAATTAGATATCAGCCGAATGAAAAACAGCAGTTGCTAACCATTCTTGTCTATTAAATTCCTTATTGACACTATAAAATATAAATATCACAGTGAAGACAGTAGCAATTCCAAAAGGTGTATTCATTCTGAAAGTTTAATAGCACATAAATAATGTTAATGTTTAGAAGATTTCTTGTTAATTTTATTATATTCAACAGAAGTGCACAGTAATGATTTATATTTTTAATTTTGAGAACAGTATGACTTAGTCAAGTCAGACTTGAGTCTTATTTGTAGAGTAATAAATTCTTTTTCCTTGACATATAGCATTTTCTGTTTCCTGCCTATAAGAAAAAGAAGTTAGTTTGAAGAAAAGAAATGTTTATTTAAATTTCTTTTCTCAAATTAACACATGTACGTTAAAAGTACAGATAATAGTGAAAGTTTTATAAGAAAAACTATCTTTGGACTCCCTCCTTCCTATCTAAGCCTCACTTCCCCCTATATAACCCTCCCACTTTACTTCCTCCTGTCACCCCAGTAATTTATTTTTAAACTGATCGTCAGAATTTATAGTTTTGTCACTATTCCAATACTGTTTCTTGCTAAGCCAAACAGAGCCCCATACTTTTTTTTTTAAATAACCTTTTTTTCTTCCCTGAGTTATAATAATATTCTTTTTCATTTTACTGATTTTCTATCTCTCTATGCATATTAACACTGTCATGTGCTTAACAGTACGTTCCCCGCTTCAGACCTTCTGGAAGTCCTCTATCCTCCTGCTCCAATATGGGCTGCTTCTCCTCCTCCTCTATCACACAGCTCTTATCCTGGGGCTTGCCTTTTATTTATTTATTTGCATCTTCGTGGTGTGTGGCATGTGGAATCTAATTCTCTGACCAGGGATTCAACCTGGGCCCCCTTCATTGGGAACATTAATTATGTCTTAGCTCCTGGACCACCAGGGAAGTCCCTATCCTGGGACGTTGATTCACTCACATCCTTTTGCCATGTTTAGTCGCTCAGTCGAGTCCAACTCTTTGCGACTGCATGGTCTGTAGCCCACCAGACGACTCTGTCCATTGGGAATCTCCAGGCAAGAATACTGGAGTGGGTTGCCGTGCCCTCCTCCAGGGGATCTTCCCAACCCAGGGACCAAACCCAGGTCTCCCTCATTGCAGGTGGATTCTTTTCCGTCTGAGCCACCAGGAGATTCCTTGGTTATCTAGATTCTGTGTCTTTTTCTACCACCCCTTGGTTCATTATCTTATTTTACTTAACTTCCTGAAAGGGGGTGAATGGCAAGATAATTTGGTTTTAGCTTTTTCATGTCATTCCTCCACCTTCAGAATTAATCTGGTGTTTGGTTAGGTATGGAATTCAGAATTGGAAATCATTAACGCTCAACTTTCAGAACATTATTCCAGTGTTGCTACTAAGAAGTCTGAAGCCATTTTGAGTCTTTTTGTGTAACCTACTTTCTTTCTCTAGAATCTTTCTTTCTGGTTTGTTTCTGAAATTCACTGATGATGTGCTGTATTACAGACTCTACCCCTCAACCCCGCTAAATTTTAGTACTCATCGGGCCCTTTCAGACTAGAGACATAAGCACTTCAGTTCTGAGGAAGTTTTATGTGTTCCTTGACAATTTCCTCTTTACTGTGTCTTGAACTCTATTCATAGATTATTGGACTTTCTGGACCCAGTGTCTTTTTATTCTGTTTACTTAGAGGTTTTTTTCAGCCTCATCCTTAAATTGAATTTGTAATTTGTTACATTTTAAATTTGTTCTCTGATTTTATTTTTAAGCAGACTTTTTCTTGCTTTGTAGAAATAGATTCTCTCTCTTAGAGGATGTTATTAATTTTAGTTTGAGATTTTAAATGCATGTGGTCAAGTTTACTTTTAGTTGGAGGCACTTAGCGTTTTAAAATATAATCTCACAAAAGTGTTACAGGATTACAATGCTGTAACTGACATTTTTGTTATCTGAGTTTTCTTGTTTAAAAGCAAAAAGCAAAAGAATATAATATTTTCTTCTGTTAAAAACAGGGTTTTTCCTTCAACTCACTTTCTCTAAATTATCTTCCCCACTCATGTTCATTACAGACCATTAATACTGTATCTGAAGTTATTCGAGGCTGCCAAGTAAACCAAGACTACTTTGCTTCTGTAAATGCACCTTCAAACCCACCAAGGTAGGAAAAGAGAAATGCTGAGGTCCCGCAGACGATTTAGTATATCTTGTCTGCACGTCTTATCCTTTTAAGGAGTTCAGTCCTGTGTTTTGAAACAAGAAATTATCTGACAAGATAAATATGTTGGTATTTTAAGAGTTTCCAGTCTTCAGAACCTATGTATTTGTACTTGGGTATTAATTCCTAGGTATGTTCCTTAGCAAGTAGATCACTTCATTTCTCTCAGCTGCAGATATCTTTTCTGTAAAATGGAGATGAAAATAGTTAACTTGCTGGTATTCTGGCTGTGGCTTTTCAGTCAACAAAAATGACTAGCTGTTGATTTATGTACGTAGACTGCAATATTTCTTTTTGTTCTTTTCTTTTTAAATGCGACAGACCAGCCATCGTAGTACTTCTCATGTCCATGGTTAATGAAAGGCAGCCATTTGTATTACGCTGTGCTGTTCTCTACTGTTTCCAGTGTTTCTTATATAAAAATCAGAAAGGACAAGGAGAAATTGTGTCAACACTTCTGCCTTCCACTATTGATGGTAAATAATTCTAATTTTTAAAATAAATAATTATCTTTTAATAGTAAAAAATGTATAGCAGATACTTAAATTGTAAAATATTAGTATGTAATGTAATGTTTAAAATATAACATTTCCTCTCAATTTGTTTTAGAAGTGTAGTTTTTAATTAAGGTCATAATTTCTGGAATATACCATTATTAGTTTGATGCCTGAAGTGTTCTAATATTTCTTTGTTTTGCTACTTTCCTTTCAAGATACTTTTTTGTCATCTTTTAAATTTTATTTTGTAAAAACAAACTTTTGAAAGTGTTACTTAATACTGCTAATTAACAGATTTTTAGGTATTATTTCATACTATTTTTGTGTGTTAGGAAACAACGTCATTCATTTTCTCCTTATTGTTACCTACCTGCCACCTTTGTAGCAACAGGCAATACGGTCTCAGCTGGTCAGTTGTTATGCGGAGGTTTATTTTCTACTGATTCGCTTTCAAACTGGTGTGCTGCCGTGGCCCTTGCCCATGCTTTGCAAGAAAACGCTACCCAGAAAGAACAGTTGCTCAGGGTTCAACTTGCTACAAGTATCGGCAATCCTCCAGTTTCTTTGTTGCAGCAGTGCACCAACATTCTTTCACAGGTAAAGTGACCAGCAACTCTAGGGAGGGGGTGGAAAGTTTCATTTTGATGTCAGTGACACAAGGATTTAAGGATGTCCTTAGTAGATGCAGATGGAAAGGGAACAAGGCAAAGACTGCTCATTAGCTCACTTTTACAACAAATGGTTTTGTGGAGAGAAAGCAGGAAATAGTCCTATCAGAATGGTTTTGCCAAATAATGAATAAGGTCTGCATCAGGATGGAAACACAGGTTCTGGACAGAAAGGTGGTGGGTTTTTTTTGTTTTTTTTTTTTTTTTGAGGGGCTAGATTTGTTTTCTTTTTATATCATCCACACAATTTCTCTTACTGCTCAATAGCTGTATTCGGGTCAGTGTATGAGAAGGGATAGAATAGAGTGGTTCATAGTTGTGTACCTTGCTGTTTCTCTTCCCAGGGCAATTGATCTTCTTTTCAGAAAACAAAAATAAAATACCAATCCATTGCTTATATAGTTAAACAGTATACCCCTTGATGTTTGTGAGCTCTCAAATCCTCTGAACCCCAAGGTGTATAGTTTACCTATTAAGATGTAAATAAATGTAAAATGTTTGCATTTCTTTAGACTCCTAATGAAGGTAGCGAAGCTTCACGGAAATGTGAATGCTAAAGGATTGATATATAGAAATATCCCTTACTATTTTTAGATGATTTGCCCACATGTGCCAGCCTTGCTGTTAAAGGATTCACGTTGATGCTTAAGCAAAACTTTAAAGTCATAGATGTTCAGAATCATTCAAGGAGAGTGAAAATGTCCATAAGTCTAAAATTGCTCTATCCACTGGTATTATCTTATTCCTTCCCCATGATATGTGGAGTGCTTCTCAGTTTTTAATTTTGCCACACTTGTTGAATTGTTTTATTGTGAGCTTTTAAAGAAACATCAGTACCATCCATAGAAAGTTATTAATGAAGGCTTAAAAATTAGCTAGTGAAAAGAGAGTTGAACTCTTCCTTTGTTACTTAGAATCAGTTTACTTTGATTGAAAGCCTGCTTTATCTTTATTATTTATCTTAGTGATTTTTTAGAAGTACTCCAAAATATTCGTAGTCTTATTTATTTAATACTTGTTTTTCTCTTGTTGCTATGTATGGACAACAGCTTTTCTTTTTTCAGATTTACATTAGAGTATATTTTATTTACAATGTTGTGTTAGTTTCTGGTGTACAGCAAAGTAAATCAGTTACACATCTATCCAGTTCTTTTTTAGATTCTTTCCCATAAAGGTTTTTACAGAATATTGAGTAGAGCTCCCTGTAGAGTTCCCAGTAGGTCTTTATTAGTTACTTATTTTAAACATAGTGGTATATAATGGCTTTTCTTAAGCCAAATAGTAATTAACTGTCTGACCATCATCACCACATACTTAGCTCTAACATTGCAATTCTAACTAATGCATGAGAAATCCTCATGAGTGGTGTCTTCCCACTTTTAAGTAATCACAGTGTTATAAAATTAGCCTTTCTCCTCTAAAATGTACATACGTTGGTATAATAAAAGATTAGATCTATCCTGTTCCAAACTGTTGGCTTGGGTTGCTAGAGAGACTGTATTTGAGGGATTTTTCTAGGTATACATTTTTCTCAAGCAGTAATATTTTCAAATAATCTTTAATGTATAATTTGCAGGGTGATAAGATCAACCGACGGGTATGTATCACTTGTTTGGGCTTAGGCATTTCCTCCTACAGCCAGCCTTTTTCTTTGTCTTGGGTTTCGTTAATTGTTTTTTTTAACTGCTTGTTTGAAGTTATATCCTACTCACACTTGTATGTGTCAGCAAGTTAATCTCTACCGTGACTCTTGGGTTTCTCTCTGGGCGGTCCTGCAGTGGTGTTGCTCCCACGCTCACTGTGGAAGTGAGCGTCTGAAGCTCTCCTTGTGCTTCCTCTGGGGATGCTTGCACTTTCTGGAATTCTTTGGTTTGGGGTTTTTGGTGTGATTTTTCACCCAAGCTTGCTGCTTTATTTCCAATGAAAGCATTTCAGAGGTAGTAAAATTTAAGAGTTAAAAATTTCGTCTTTAATCAACGTATGAAAGAACATGATGACTTTTATATTATATAGGTTATTGAAAATATATAATAGTAAGTATAAATTTGTAATTTGAAAGAGTTTAAATATCTTGAGTTATTCTGGGTGTTATGTATGTGCTACACTACCATTTTGGATTCGTTTTTGATGTGTGCTGGGGGAGAGTGTGATTTGTGCTTGATTTTGATCTGTTTTCTGGGATATTTGGCCCAAAAGGTGTGTACTTTTAGTTCCGTATTTGAGCATGTGTTCAATTATGCAGCGTGGATACTAATAACTGAGGTCCTATTGGGAGTTGTATCTTTGTGTATGAGCATGATTTAACGTGTGTTAATACCTCACACAGAGATTTGGCAGCTTTAGCTGTCAGAATTTTAAATACTAAGTAAAGAATTTTATAAGTGTGCATATCATTGATTTAAAAGGGAAATTTTGGAAAGCATAATTTATATACAGTAAAATGCACAGACCTTAAGTGTTCAGTCTGATGATTTTCATGGTTGAATACATTTCTATAACCACCACCCAAGACAAAATATGCAGCATAGTGTTCATAATCCCACAAGTTCCATCTTGTCCCTTTCCTATTAGTTCTCTGTCTCCAGAGCCCACCACTAGGAAGTAAATCTGATCATAATACTCTTGAACCTCATTTTAATACTTAAACACCAGTTGTTTAAAATGTTAACTTTACATATTTTTTATTATTAATGTACTTTTAGGAATAATACTTTATTTCTTCTGAAATGTTCGAGGTTTTCTGCAACAAGATTTGAAATAATTCTCAGCCATTTTTTATTTTCAGTAGATGTGTAACTCAAATGCATCATGCAATTTGTGAATGGTAGGCAGAAGTATTCTCAGATAGACAAAGGTTCCAACAGTAGTTTGAAACATTTTTAGTTTAGACGGAGCTTTTTTCCCTCCTAAAAAATGAGAGCATTTTTCACTAGTTAACAAACTTAGATTTTTGGTCAGTTTTAGCCTCTCCCACTTTTTTAAGGCTCCCTTTAATGATACTTTTATTTGTTTATTCTTTCAAGCTGGAAAAAATTCCAGTAGTAGAATGAGTACATCCATGTTGTCAACATGTAGAAATATTTGACTTTGGTTGTTTCTTACAGTGGGGGATAATTGATAACAGTGAGAGAGAGATTTTTTTTCTATTTTTGGCTGTGCTGGATCTCATTTGGGGCACACAGACGTTTTGATCTTCATGGTGGCAGGCAGCATCTTTAGCTGTGGCATATGAACCCTTAGTTGCAGCATATGGGATCTAGTTCCCTGACCAGGGATTGAATGTGGGGCCCCTGCATTGGTAGTTGGAGTCTTAGCCACTAGAGAGAGATTTTAATAGCAGTTAGCTTCACTATAATTAAAATGACATCATGATATAGCAGTGAATTATTTTTTCTAAATCATATATTAAAAAACTAACGTCTTGTTACTATTCTTTTTTTTTTTTCCATTTATTTTTATTAGTTGGAGGCTAATTACTTTACAACATTGCAGTGGTTTTTGTCATACATTGAAATGAATTAGCCATGGATTTACATGTATTCCCCATCCCGGTCCCCCCTCCCACCTCCCTCTCCACCCGATCCCTCTGGGTCTTCCCAGTGCACCAGGCCCGAGCACTTGTCTCATGCATCCAACCTGGGCTGGTGATCTGTTTCACCCTAGATATACATGTTTCAATGCTGTTCTCTTGAAACATCCCACCCTCGCCTTCTCCCACAGAGTCCACAAGTCTGTTCTATACATCTGAGTCTCTTTTTCTTTTTTGCATATAGGGTTATCGTTACCATCTTTCTAAATTCCATATATATGTGTTAGTATACTGTGATGGTCTTTATCTTTCTGGCTTACTTCGCTCTGTATAATGGGCTCCAGTTTCATCCATCTCATTAGAACTGATTCAAATGAATTCTTTTTAATGGCTGAGTAATATTCCATGGTGTATATGTACCACAGGTTCCTCATCCATTTGTCTGCTGATGGGCATCTAGGTTGCTTCCATGTCCTGCCTATTATAAACAGTGCTGCGATGAACATTGGGGTGCACGTGTCTCTTTCAGATCTGGTTTCCTCAGTGTGTATGCCTAGAAGTGGGATTGCTGGGTCATATGGCAGTTCTATTTCCAGCTTTTTAAGGAATCTCCACACTGTTTTCCATAGTGGCTGTACTAGTTTGCATTCCCACCAACAGTGTAAGAGGGTTCCCTTTTCTCCACACCCTCTCCAGCATTTATTGCTTGTAGACTTTTGGATAGCAGCCATCCTGACTGGCGTGTAATGGTACCTCATTGTGGTTTTGATTTGCATTTCTCTAATAATGAGTGATGTTGAGCATCTTTTCATGTGTTTTTTTGCCATCCGTATGTCTTCCTTGGAGAAATGTCTGTTTAGTTCTTTGGCCCATTTTTTGATTGGGTCATTTATTTTTCTGGAATTGAGCTGCAGGAGTTGCTTGTATATTTTTGAGATTAATCCTTTGTCTGTTGCTTCATTTGCTATTATTTTCTCCCAATCTGAGGGCTGTCTTTTCACCTTGCTTATAGTTTCCTTTGTTGTGCAAAAGCTTTTAAGTTTCATTAGGTCCCATTTGTTTATTTGTGCTTTTGTTTCTAAAATTCTGGGATGTGGGTCATAGAGGATCCTGCTGTGATTTATGTCGGAGAGTGTTTTGCCTATGTTCTCCTCTAGGAGTTTTATAGTTTCTGGTCTTACATTTAGATCTTTAATCCATTTTGAGTTTATTTTTATGTATGGTGTTAGAAAGTGTTCTAGTTTCATTCTTAAAAATATGGAACGCTTCACGAATTTGCGTGTCATCCTTGCGCAGGGGCCATGCTAATCTTCTCTGTATGTTCCAATTTTAGTATATGTGCTGCCGAAGCGAGCACTTGTTACTATTCTTATTATGTATTGATGAGACCATCTTTAGAACTTTCATTTCTAAATAAAAAGAGCCCTCCATGACTCCTCTAATTGAATTTCTTTCCTGTTTTTTTTTTAATTGGAGGATAATTATTTGACAATGTTGTGTTAATTTCTGCTGTACAACAGCATGAATCAGCCATCTGTATACATATACTCCTCCTCCTCTGAGCATCCCTCTCACTTCCCCCATCCCACCGCCCCGCCCGCCCAGGTCATCTCAGCATTGAGTTGAGCTCCCTGTGCTATGCAGCAGCTTCCAACTAGCTGTCTATTTTACACATAGTAGTACATGTACACAGTTTTGAGTAGGCTCATTCCTAATCAAAATTGTTGCTGTAATAAACAAGGTGTTCCATTCTATCTTCTGCCTGGTTCTAACCAGTTATGTTTGACTTTGCTCTCTTTAACCTTCAGCTAGACCCCAAAGGACATACTTTTCAGAATTGAACCTAATTCCATTTTTGTTTACTCAGACATCAGTCAGTGATTTGATAGGATGCCCTTGTTTATACAATGTCAGCATGTTTGGTACCTGCAAATGGTATTCCTATAATAAATTTTATTTTCAGTTTACCTGGGTAACATGAAGATATACTGTGGACACAATAATGACACAAAGGCAAGGAAAAAGTAAAACTAGTGCTTTATGTAAAAACTAAATCATGCTAATTAGTGCTTACGTGGCATTTGAAGAGGTCTAATTTGAATTTAATTAAATATACTTGAAAAAAGATTATAGAAAGGCCAAGATGTTGACATTAAGGTTCATGACATTAGAATAGTCTGGGTGAGTGATGGAAATTTTTCAAAACATAGTAATAGTTACTTTTGAATCCACCCCTTGTCTTGATTTTTAAAGAATTGTATTTTAGATATTTTCTGAAATTACTCCCAAAGCGATGCATTATTGTGCTAATTTCCATTATTTTCTTTCAAGCAAGTTTTGTTTTGCTTAAACAAAAATGCAGGTTCAGTCAGTTCAGTTCAGTCGTTCAGTCATGTCCAACTCTTTGCAACCCCATGAATCACAGCACGCCAGGCCTCCCTGTCCATCACCAACTCCTGGAGTTTACTCAAACTCATGTCCATCGAGTCAGTGATGCCATCCAGCCATCTCATCCTCTGTCGTCCCCTTCTCCTGCTTCCCCCAGTCCCTCGCAGCATCATGGTCTTTTCCAATAAGTCAACTCTTCACATGAGGTGGCCAAAGTACTGGAGTTTCAGCTTCAGCATCAGTCCTTCCAATGAACACCCAGGACTGATCTCCTTTAGGATGGACTGGTTGGATCTCCTTGCAGTCCAAGGGACTCTCAGGAGTCTTCTCCAACACCACAATGTAATTTGGGCAAGGGCAATATTATGGCCACCTGATGCGAAGAGCTGACTCATTGGAAAAGACCCTGATGCTGGGAAAGATTGATGGCACGAGGAGAAGGGGATGACAGAGAATGAGATGGTTGGACGGCATCACTGACTCAATGGAATGAGTTTGAGTAAACTCCGGGAGTTGGTGATGCTGACAGGGAGGCCTGGCGTGCTGTGGTTCATGCGGTCGCAGAGTCGGACACAACTGAGTGACTGAAGTGAACTGAATATTATGAGCTAAGCAAATACCTCATATAAGGGATGTAAATGTGTTGTATGAAAATTTAGGAAAGTGTAATGTTGATGGATATGGTAGTTTTCAGTATTGTTTAACATACTTAGCAGCAGTATAGTTAGTGGTTTGAGGCACTTAGCTAATTTAAATAAATCTTTTTCTTCTCCATTATGCTTGTTATTTCTCATAATTTGGCATTTCTCAGGAGTTTGTAATGTGGTTTATTTATTTTCCTGTTAGAGAAATATATTCTTTAATGGAATTTAAACAATTCAGGAGATTATGTCTTTTTTTTTAATTATTTGAAGGAGGTAGAATTTGTGTTTTCTAGTTTTTTTCTAATTCCTATTGAAACATTTTAAATTTGCCAGCAAATTTACGCTAAAGTGTTTTAAGATTGATATAAGCATCCACATATATTTCTTCCTGAGCATATCAGGTTTTCCACTAACAATATTTTAGATAACCTGGTATATGCTTGTAAACATGGATCAAGTCTAATTTCTGCTCTCTGTTTCGGAAGTGCAGTCCAAACAGGACACACGAGTGCATTTTCTTGTTCAATTTTTAAAATCCAGATTCCTGACACATCTTTTATAAGATTTAAAATGTCTTTTTATGTAGATGGGGAGGGATTTTAGGGCAACTTCAGGTTTGAAAAACATAAAAAGATTTCTGCTAACTTGTTTATTGCAGGGAAGCAAAATACAGACAAGAGTTGGATTACTGATGTTGCTTTGTACCTGGCTTAGCAACTGTCCCATTGCAGTGACACACTTTCTTCACAATTCAGCCAATGTTCCATTTGTATCCTTTATGTTTTAGTAAGATACATGTAAGTATTTATCTTTTCTATCTTTTCTGTTTCTTCTTCTCAACTAGAGGTAGCTCATGCCTCAAATGTTTGGATTCTCTTTATGTTGCAGACTTTTAAATGGTTAAGGTGATAATGATGTTTGCTTAAGCTGTGTTGGGGGGGGTGGGTGTACATGTATATCACTGTTCTATGTTTTCTTAGATTGTGTATAGAATTTCTTGTTGAAACTTACATGAAATACATGTCAGATTCAAATTGTAAAACAGAGTATTCTTGATACTATGAACCGTTAGTTTTCTTAACAAAGATTTCAGCTTACAGGACAAATTGCAGAAAATCTTGGAGAAGAGGAACAGTTGGTCCAAGGCTTATGTGCTCTTTTGTTGGGCATTTCAATTTACTTCAATGATAACTCTCTTGAGACCTATATGAAGTAAGTATGGGGAAAATGATTTGCTGATGTCATCAATAGATAATGATAAATTTTTTTCTGCCAAAGCATAATGTAGACCAGGCTTTTCTGTTTTGTTATGACTTTTTAAGCATCTCAATATACTTATCTCTGTAGAGAGAAACTGAAACAACTGATAGAGAAGAGGATTGGCAAAGAGAATTTCATAGAGAAACTAGGATTTATTAGCAAACATGAACTGTATTCCAGAGCGTCTCAGAAACCCCAGCCAAACTTCCCCAGTCCAGAATACATGATATTTGATCATGAGTTTACAAAACTGGTAAAAGAACTTGAAGGTAAGACGACAAGAGTTCATTTTGACACTCATTAGAAAGTACCTGTGATTTTATTTTATATGTATATTCTGGATGCATGCAGATTATATGATAAGCCTAAAAGTATCTTTTTTTTTTAGCTCTTGGTCTGTAGCCCATTGAAGGACTTTTGGCACTCAGTAAGATGACTTCTGATCTCTCATGCAGTTGTTGTTTAGTTGCAAAGTCATGTCCGACTCTTTTGCGACCCCGTGGACTGTAGCCTGTCCATGGGATTTCCCAGAAAAGAATACTGGAGTGAGTTGCCATTTCCTTCTCCAGGGACTCTTCCCAACCATATGTTTTTTACTGATAAGTCTTGATAATAAAGCAGTATTTTTAAATGTCTTCTTTTATAGGTGTGATTACTAAGGCTATTTATAAGTCCAGTGAAGAAGATAAAAAAGAAGAAGAGGTGAAGAAAACATTAGAGCAGCATGACAGTATTGTGACTCACTACAAAAATATGATTCGAGAGCAAGTACGTACTGATACACAGTCTCTGTTATACTAGAAGTTTAGATACTTTTCTGGGGCTTCCCTGGTGAGTCCAATGGTAAAGAATCCACCTGGAACGCGGGAGACCCAGATTCAGTCCTTGGGTTGGGAAGAGCCCCTGGAGAACAGAATGGCTACCCACTCCAGTATTCTTGCCTGGGGAATCCAATGGACGTAAGAATCTAGCGGGCTACACTTCATGGCGTTGCAAAGAGTTGGACATAACTAAGCACTCATACTTTTCTGCTTTAGGGAAGAATTTCTTGGCATTTTTAAATGCAAGAGGATACACAAAGCAAAACTCATTGTTTACCTAAATAATTCAAAAGCATCTGAGTATGCAGCAAACTGAGAGCTTAATATGTGTTTAGCAAGTCTAGTTAATAAAGATAATCAGAAGTGTATGGCAGCACTGAGAAGTACATAATTTATGTAGATAGGAGCTTGGGGAAAACAGAAGCTGAGTCCCCCTAAGAGGATAACTATGACTGAGCTCAGCAAAAGGAGAGAGAAGGAAGGCATGTGTTACGGATATCTACACAGAACCTTTGCTGGCTATGTAAAGGGAAATTTGAGAGGCAAGGCTGGAGAGAAGGAAGGGTATGCTGGTGATGAGTGGATATTAGGGAGCTGACGATGATGATGGTGACTGCTGGTTTTTGTTTCCTGTGTTGTGGGTTCTCACTTAGCACATTTAAACACTGTCACATTTAATTTTCAAGTATCCCTACAGAGTAGAGGAAACTGACTTACTAGAGTGGGTAATGATGAGTTAAGTTGAAACTACAGTTTCAGAATCATCAACTGACATTTTCTCTGCAGGATACCAGTGAAGCCCACACTTACATAGTATTCAGCACCTTAGCTTCTTTACATTCCTTCAAGCTGTGTTTCTTGGTTTTCTTCTCTCATTTAATTCCTCACTGTGGAGTACATACTTTTATTGGAATGGAATCCCAGGAAGTGCTGCAGTGTTATCTGTAAAATAAGATTACTGGTGTTAAAGTTCGAGGGTCGTGAAGACAGTTTCATGGGAGGCAGGTCCACCATCCCTTTCCTGGCCCCCGCCCCCTGCTGACTGTGCACAGCTCAGGCAGGTGTGGCAAGTAAGAGCTTTAGGGTGGAGCCCTGTAAATGAGAGCCACCTCCACTTGGTGTACCTCCACAAGGTATACTGCTGGGAATGAAACTCTAAAAAAGAATAAAAATACACTGGAGGTATATTTAGCATTCAGTCTGAGCTTTTCAGTTTATAAGCAAATTAGTAAATTAGAATCATCTTTGAATGATCCAAATTTGAATCATTACTCTGTTCATGATTATTAGAATTTTTCATCTATCTTAGTACAAAATCACAGTCATTTCCAGATGGTAAAATGTAATCTTTACAGCAGTGGGAAATAAGAACTTGGAAGGCAATATTATAGCCTATACTTGGAGCTGATAAATATGGTTGATTTGGAAGAAGAAAAGAGTGATTTGACACAATTACTATAATGACTCTTCTTTAGAAATGTTAATTTTAAATATTCTCACCAGTTAGAATACCATTTGGCAATTAGGCAACAAGCCTCAAGAGCTATAAAATGTTTATATAAACTCTGAATTATATTTAAAAATCAATCCTAAGGAAATTCTCCAAAATTTAGGAAAACAGTTATATTGACTAAGATATTTATTGTAATGATACTATCATTTAGAAAAATGGAGAGCAACCTTTGTGTTGTTTTTGAATATGAATTATACCTCCTGATTAATATGAGGAAATTATGATTGAATAGTAGGCAAATTAAAGGTTAAAAAATGATGTATGGACTGATTATGATAAGTTTAAAAAATCTGGATTGGAAAAAAATTAGAAGAAAATAAAGACACAGATCACATTCCAACCAGTTAAATTAGGAGGTGATTAGAAGTGAAAGCTTTTTTTTGAAATTCTAAATGTTCTATGATTGTCTTTCTTTTTTTTTTAACGTGGAACTATTGTTAAAGTCTTCATTGAATTTTTTACAGTATTGCTTCTTGTTTTATGAGTTGGTTTTTTTGGCCAGGAGGCATGTGAGGTCTTAGCTGCCTGACCAGGGATGGAACCCACACCTGCTGCGTTGAAAGGCGCTGGACCAGCAGGGAAGTCTCCTGCTTGTCTTTTAGTGTTAAAAGTAATAGAGGTGCATACATATGCTAAGCTTAAATAATTTGGTACACACTTTTTAGTTTGATGGATCATAAAATGAAGTTTTTAAAATTGACACCACCACCCTGCCCTCCAAACCAAAACTCACAGTGAGATTGCAGGTTGTGTCATGTAGTGGGGCCTTGAAATCTTACAGTTCTGCTACATATTAACTGGCCTTAGTACATATATTAATGTGTTATTGCTTAATTATTGAATGATTTTGAAACTGTTGAGTAGTTTAATATCCTCATCCAAAGTAATCTCTGATTTTTCATTTGTTCTTCTTAATGCTCACTAGTATGAATTTAAATCACTTGAATTGTGCTTTGTTTCATAGGATCTGCAACTGGAGGAATTAAAGCAGCAGATTTCTACATTAAAATGTCAAAATGAACAGCTCCAGACAGCAGTCACACAGCAAGTATCTCAGATTCAGCAACACAAGGATCAGTATAATCTTCTTAAAGTACAGCTCGGTAAGTGTAGCTAGCCGTTCCTATTGTAATGTCCCCAAGAGATTATTCTTGTGGACTCATCTTTCTTTAACCTTGATCACTGTGACACAAGTGTAAGTCAGAGTTTGAAGTCCAATCTCTTTGCTATCCATTGATTCTCAACCTTAGCTGCCTACACATTGAGACCCCTTGAGATTTTTTTTAGTACCGATACTGAGACCCCCACTGAAGTTTCTTTTTTTTTCCCCCCACTGAAGTTTCTAATTAAATTAGTTAGGGTTTGGGTCCAGGCATCAGTGATTATTACAAGCTCCCCAGGTGATTCTAATGTATAGCCAGTTTCAAATAACTGGTCTACCCTTTCCTTTTTTTTTTTTTTTAATCTGCAAAGTGGAGCTGAGATTTAAATGAAATAATATGTATAAAATTCTAGTTTGGTGTCTGGCACATGCTAAGGGCTCAAATGCTTGTAAATAGTCTCTTTCTATACTGCTTATGATTGGAATGCTAGCTACTTAGAAACATAGTTTATTTATATGAAGGTGACCAAAATTTTCAGAAGAAAATAACTTTTGCTTCCTCTATTTATGACCATAATTCATCAGTTCTTTTAGGCCATATAGAAAGCTATTCTTTTGTGAAGATTTCTAAAAGGATTTTATTTTCTCCTATATTAATTGATAGAATTGGAATTGAAACTACTATAATTCTTAATTTTACATCACTGAGCCAGTTTAGTCTTAAGACTATGCTGTTTTTCCTCCCAGAAACCCTGAAAACATCAGTTCATTATTTTTGTCAGTGCACTGTTATGCAAAGATGAAATGTGCATACAAAAGTGCCTCCAAAGTAATTATTCAGGAAATTATGTATTTATTTTATACTTGAATTGTCAGCTCAAAAAATGAAAAATTTCATGCTGACTTCTGAAATTTTATGCCTAACAGGAAAAGACAGTCAGCATCAAGGTCCTTACAGTGATGGGGCTCAGATGAATGGTGTTCAGCCGGAAGAAATTAGTAGGCTGCGAGAAGAGATAGAAGAATTAAAAAGTAATCGCGAACTTTTACAAAGTCAACTGGCTGAAAAAGACTCTCTGATTGAAAATTTGGTGAGTGAGTGTTTTAAAATTTTTAAACGAGGTCAAAAATAATTCTCATTATCCTGCTTGTTTTTATTTCTGGATCCCTTAAGCTAAAGTATCATTTTAAGGTTTTAAAACGTGAGCTCTGGAGTCAGACTGTCTAAAGCATCAGTGTATCCTAGCTAACTGAATTTGAGCAACTTAGTTAACCTCTTGAAACTTGTTTCCTGAGTTGTAAAATGGTTGTGGTGGTATCTGTCCCATTGCTGCAAGAATTAAATAAGGTATTCCATATGAAGCTCTCTTAATATATGGAAATCACTCAGTAAATACCTGCTTTTATGCTCTTTTCTTCATATTATCTCAGTTAAGTGCTTAGATTTCATAAATTACTTGGTATGAGTTGATTAGCTGTGGAAAATTTGTTGACAAGATGTGCTATGTTGAAATGTTATTTTGGGCATAAAATTTTAAATGTCAGTGTGGAATGTTTTGGTATACATGTACCAGGCATAGCTTATATGTGTACAGTTTTGTTTTGCTTTTTCCTAACTGTTTAAACTGAATTTATTTCACAGTTTGTCTCTCTGCTCTTTGTAGAAATCTTCCCAGCCATCACCTAGCACAAATGAACAGTCTTCAGCAACAGCAGGAGATTCTGAACAAATTGCAGAGTTAAAACAGGTAACTTTTCAGCTTGATTCAGGGTCTGTTTTGTCTTGTTTTAATTATAATAGCGTAATGGCCCTGCATTAATCTAGAACTGCTTTGTCAGGCATCTTCACTTCTTTATCAAGTAAAAGCCATTTGAAAATACAGAAGCTGTTTTAATTGTACAGTAATGGTATTTTGCTTTTTATGGTATATTTATTTTTCAGTGGTGTTCTTTTTAATAGATCTCAGCATCTTACCCAGATTATTTGTAGATTGTCAGTAAGCAGTTAAGGAAACTTTAAATATGTTTATAAGCTGCAAATATGAAGATACAAAATCTTGTGCTTAATTTTCTTGGTAACTGCTTGGTTAAATGTATTGGGCATTTAAATCATTCTATCCAGAAAAATGTTGGTTATTAGAATTGGAAAGGGAAAAACAGAAAGTAAACTTGTATATATCTCAGTTAGATGACTAGCTAAAAATAAAGCAAAATAACTTTTTCTGCTGTAGTAATTTTCATTATTTAGAAGTGCAAATGTGCCTTTTCTTCCTTCCATCCCCCTCTCCTTCCTTCCTTTTCTATAAAAGGAATATATGTTTCTTTTTTTAAAAAAGTAATACTGAAGAAAGAACAGCTTGGCCAACCTAGGGCTGGCTTCCTTCTCTAGTAGTCAGCTGGTCCCCACCCTCTGACGTGCCTGATCAGACGGGAATGCCTGGGCAAAGAGAAGCGAAATGTCTTATTTTGGTAATGTCTCTGTACCCTAGAGTGGATTCTACAATGAAACATTTTAAAAAATAATAATAATTTGTCAATAATGATTTACAACTCTCCAATAATGTGGCCATGATGTTTTGTTCTTATGAGGGAGAGTTGATATGCTGTTCTGATTTTACGAAATCTAAAACTATATTAAAATGAAAATAAATTAATTTATTAATATATACTCTCAGTCTATAAATCCCAAGTAACAATTTTTACTTTTCATATTTCCCAAAGATATATTTTAAATAAGTTGTGGGGTTTTTTAATAATATATAGTAAAACAGAGTATAGAAAGAAGACCAAATGGTCTGTAATTTTTACATAACTTACTTTGATAAGTGAAGAAACAGAACAGTCAGAGAAAAGACATGTATGTTCATGATAGAAAATATTAAGAGAATAAAAAACTTTTTACATGACAGCATCCTAGTATCTCCAGACACCTGCCAGATATCGTGGGGGAAGATTGCCCTTGGTGGAGAGCCACTGTTACAATTGCTTCATTTTCCTGGACTTGTTTTGAGGGGAGTGAGCAAGAAGTTTGGAAACTTCAGCCTTAATACATAAACTTTCAGTTAATTCTACCACTTTCACTACAGTACTACTACTTTCATCAGTGTTTGGTGGCCCCCTAATCTAAAACCATCTTATTTCGCCCATTCCAAATAATACACCTCTAGTCTTCAGTCAAGAGAAAAGGAAACGTTACCTGAGGCATGAGTTAGGACAGGGATTCAGTGCTCTATTTTTAAGCAGACTTTCAACCAACCCTGCTGGGTTTTTGTTATTGTTGTTATTTTTACTTATTTGGCTGAATCGGGTCTTAGTTGTGGCGTGTGTACTTTGTTGCTCCGTGGAATGTTGGATATTCGTTCCTGGGCCAGGGATCAAACCCACCACCCCTGCATTGCAAGAAGGAGTCTTATCCACTCTACCCCCGGGGGAGTTCCAGCCCTGCTGTCTTTGACCCCAGTTTTACTCACAGTTCGAAAACATCTGGTGGTGCGGGTTCCCAGGCCTTTGGTAGTTCTGCATTACACGCCAGGCAGCAGCGTGCCTTTCTGAAAGGTCAGCTTCTGTCTCAGCCCTCGCAGGCGTGTGGCTGGTTACCACTGTCATTTGCTTTCTGAAATTCCACAGTTTAGTGCTGTTTTCTCTTCTCTTATTCTCTGTCCCTGTGGGCTTCTTTCTCCCTCCTGCCTGCCCTTTCTCAGTCCCTCTCTCCCTCCTCCTTCCCCACCTTCCTCCCTCCCTTCTTCCCACCTTTTCCTTTCCTCCTTCTGTCCTCCCTTTGTGATTTTTCACGCTGGATCTTACAAGGAAGCAGAAGTGAACATTTAATTCTCCATCTTGAACCAAAAGTTCAAGAGTCGTTCTTTCACTTAAATTTTAAAACTTGGAAGTGATGATTTTAGAGAGGCCAAGGAAGGAAATAATTTCTTCCTGTAAATAGGCATTTCCTTGGTAAAATTAATACTGTTTAAAATTAATAACTGTTTAACAAAAAAGTTCAACCCAACTTTTTTGTCCCTTAGGAACTGGCAACTTTAAAGTCTCAGTTAAACACACAGTCTGTGGAGATTACCAAACTACAGGCCGAAAAACAGGAGCTGTTACAGAAAACTGAAGCATTTGTAAGTTATTACTTTTTTATTGTTCTGAAAGGTAGTATATGCACAATTAGGAGGTTATTTCTCAGCCACTATGGAAAAGAAGCAAATTTGTCAGCACCTTCCATTCAGGTATTCATTAGCCAGAGTTTCAGACACATAGGCTTCTTGGCCAGTGTATTATAGTCAGACTTGCCAGGTCAGTTTTATCAGCTAGTTGTGGTTCATTTTGTTGGCATTTTATTTGTTTATTTGGCTGCCCCAGGTCTTAGTTGCAGTGTGTGGGCTCTAGTTCTCTGACCCAGGCATTGAGCCTGGACCCTGTATTGGGAGGGCAGACTCTTAGCCACTGGATCACCAGGGAAGTCCCTGTTGGTATTTTATATTTCACCCCATCTTGCAGTCTAAGCTGGCAGGTTTTCTGCTGGTATAAAATTATCAAAAACCTTATTGGTGACCCATGCAATTTCCAGGGTTCCAAGCCAACAAGCAAGAAGGTTCTCCTGGATCCCTCCTGGGGAACCGCATCTCTGTTCCAGCTTCTGCACAGATAGGTTGATTGGGTCCGTGTGTCACACGAGTAACCTCTTCACAAATGGTTGTGCAGGCACACACTTGGGGTTTCACTGGGACATGCTTTGTCATTGATTGCAGTAGGGATAGGCCAAGAATTTTCTAAATCATCAAGTTCTGACTCCCTTTTGCTTAACAATTCCTTTTTCAATCTGTCTTTATCCTCTCACATTTTACTATAAGCAGCAAGGAGAAACCAGGTCACACCTGTAATGCTTTGCTTAGAAGTTTCCTCAGCTAGAATAGTTCATCACTCACAAGTTCTGCTTTCCACAACATTAGAATACAAGTCAGCCAAGTTCTTTGCCACATTATAACAAGGATCACCTTTTCTCCACTTTCAAATAACATGTTCCTCATCTCTCTTTGTGTGCGTGCGTGCTCAGTCACTTGAGTTGTGTCCAGCTCTTCACGACCCCATCGACTACAGCCTGCCAGGCGACCCTGTCCATGAGATTTTCCAGGCAAGAATACTGGAGTGGGTTGCCAGTTCCTACTCCAGGGGATCTTCCCAACCCAGGGATCTAACCTGGGTCTTCTGTATTGATAGGTGGATCTTTACCACTGAGCCACCTGGGAAGCCTCCACCTCTATCTGAGACCTCACCAAAACTTTTAACATCCATACTTCTACCAGCATTCTGTTTACGATGCCATGTATTTTCTCTGAGACCATAGAAACTTTCTCTACAGCCTGCCTCTTTCTTTAGGAGCCCTTACTGGTATTGCCTTTAATGTTCATATTTCTACCAACAGTGTCTTCAAGGCAGTTGAGACTTTGTCTAACATGAACCTCAAAATTCTTTTGCCTCTTCCAGTTCCAAAGCCCTTTCCTCATTTTAAGGTATTTGTGAGATCAACACCACCACTGTCCAGTATTTTGAAAGAAAAAAGATGAGGGAAGGACTGAAAATTTTTGATTTAGTATAACTTCCTATAACCCTTAAGAAAATACTTGCATTTTACCAGTTAATGGCATTCAACTCAATTTCCCCATATGTCTTTCTGAAATGATAGTATAGTCTTAACTTATAGGAATTTTATGAGGAAAAGGCTGAAGAGTATTCTCTACATATTAAATGCTTTGCCGTAGCTAGATTAGAGCTGCGTCATTGATAACCTGCCTGATCTGGCCTTGAGGCTGCTCAAACCAACCTTCCTTATATTCTGATGAGAGCTTGTGCCACACCCCTCCTGACCCAGCCTTCTGCTCCACTCTAAAGGCAGCTCATCTTTTTAGGGAGAGCATGTTATTGAGGGTAAATACTGAAAGAATTAGATTTTTCTGTCACTGGAAATAAAATTTCAAAATAGCAAGAAAAATCATCATTAGAATTTCATATTGATTATAAATTTAAAGAAACTTTTTTTTTTCCCAATTTTTACTTTCAGGCAAAATCAGCTCCTGTACCAGGAGAGAGTGAAACTGTAATAGCTACAAAAACTACTGATGTGGAAGGAAGACTGTCAGCATTATTACAGGAAACTAAAGAGTTAAAGGTTGGTTTGGTGAAACTTTTTATTCATTGTATTTTATGTGAAATGAACTCCAGGGAATTTGATTTTGTTTCATTTAATTTTTCAAATTCTTAGATTTATGAAGAAAGTTAATGGGACATAATCTTACCTCACAATAAGTCCGTTCCCATTTTGATGACTAAAAGTGGCACAAATGAATATTTCTAAATGCTATTTCAAATAATGGTACCAAATATGTAAAATAAGGTTGTATATGAGTATACTTGAAAGTAAAAACATATTTTAGTCAAAGTAAAAAGAGTTAAGTTTTCTTATCAATCTCTAATCACAGTAAGAAACAAGGAGTATAGCTTTGGCTAATACACAAGCCATAGGCTAAGGAATACAGACACCTTAAATCCTGCCAGCCTATTGTGTGACAGAAAAATCAAAATAGATAGGATGAAGTAAAGGATGAGGTAACAGTAATAAAACTAGAAAGGTAGTAATTAAAACACGGCAAGAGAAAGATAATGTGTGATTTTGCCTTTTGGATTGTGGTCAAAGTATTTTATATTTAAGCTATGGATTTTACTTGAAGCTATCTTTCTTTCCTATTTAATTGTATATGTGAAGTTGGGATAAAATTTTTTTTTTTTTAATTTGAGTCCTAACTCTGGTGCTAACCAGGCTTCTGCTGTAAGATGTTTTTACATGTTTCTGCATGTAAGATGTCTTTATTTATTCCTCTGATTATCTGAAATAGGATTTTTTTGAGGAGTAAGTAATTAAAACTATTTTTTTGTTGTTAAACTCTGATTTTCACAGCAGTCATCTCATGTTACTAGATGACTTTGTGTATGTGTATATTTTAAATCTCCTGTCCCCCCAACACCTAACCCCAAACTCTTCAGATTGCATGAGTACAGAGATCTGTCATAGAAAGAATATATTTGTTAAAACCGTAGGAGAGTAAATACTAATTTTTGATTGTGATTTTCACCTTTCTTCTCTTAGAATGAAATTAAAGCTCTGTCTGAGGAAAGAACTGCTATTAAAGAGCAGCTGGATTCATCTAACAGTACCATTGCCATCTTACAAAATGAGAAAAACAAGCTCGAGGTGGACATTACAGATTCTAAAAAAGAACAAGATGATCTCTTGGTGCTGTTGGCCGATCAGGATCAGAAAATATTTTCATTAAAGAATAAACTCAAGGAACTTGGTCATCCAGTAAGATTGCGATGTTTCCAAAAATGGTTTATATGTGTTTCTTTATGATGTGTTTTTAAACATTGTCCTGTGTCATGGGAATTTTGTTAGGTTTGTATATCAATACTACAGGCATAGATTTGTAGGTATGTGAATTGACTTAAGACACAGATTAGATGCAATTTCCAGCTTTTGTTAACTCTTCTCTTTTGGAATCTGAGCCTGGAAAGTGACTTGCTTCTGTGGTAACAGAGTCACTCACCATCCAAATGTACCATCCCCTTTTTGCTGTGTTGGTTCAGGTTTATATGTAGAGAGTTGTATCCATCTGGCAGCAAGTTAACCTGTGTATCTTGTCTTATATTAAAAATAACAGGAAACCTTGAATATTAAGTCAAGGAAATCAGATGCCCCATAATCTACTATAATTACTAAAGAATTTATCCACAGAGTAAAATCATTTTGTGTTGAATGTGACGTGACCAGATCTTCATAATGTTAAATGTATATTTTCCCTTTAGGTTGAAGAAGAGGATGAACTTGAATCCGGAGACCAAGATGATGAGGATGATGAAGATGAAGATGATGGCAAGGAACAGGGTCATATCTAGCTTTAAAATCTCAAGGAATGATAGAGACTATATTGTAACTTTGAAGATGGAGTCTTAAGACAGTGCTTTGGTTTGCCTCCACAGAAAATAAAGATTTAGAAACCAAGTGGAAAACATTCACTAATATGACTATTGATGTATTTTTTAAATGATGCCACCCATGTTGATAATCCTGTTACTCTAACTTTATGTAGAATATACATCTTTTATTGAACCAGACTGTCCCAAAATATAATTTGCAAAGAACTACAGACACCAAAAATATACCATTTTTTTCAGGCATGTGGTGGCAATGCTATTTGCCTTAGTTCATTGGTTGTTTATGGAAGTTCTGTATTTGTCTGCTGTTTTTATTTTTCAGAATTTGTGACTTTTAGTACTAACACATTTGATTTAATGTATGTTGGAATCACTGTTTCTAAATTAAGTATTGGAGTTCCTAGCTAATGATTTCCTTTTGAAGAAATGGATTTACTTACAGGCAAGATAGCATGATCTGGGGGTAATACATCATCAGCCCTTCACCCAGTATGACTCCTAATGTGAGCAGGACAAGACAGTTGAGAGTGAGTGCCTTGACACTTGACACGGCAGTGTTCTGTGCCTCAGTGAAGAAGGCTGCAGACACGCAGTGAAGAGGAGGAGGTTTCTGAGAAACTTTTCCAACGGTGTGTTAGCATGTGTTTGGTTTTGGTTTTATTTTTAGCGAAACATTAAAACACATTACAAATTAACAGCTCATACAACTCAGATTTAGTATTATTGTTTGATTATTATAAAACATATTATGTTCCTAGTTTTAAAAAAGACCCAAACTATGGTTTATATAATTTATTGGCATTTTTGCTGAATAGGTTTAAGTCAGATCTTAGATTTTTAAAAAAGCAATGAAGCAATGTGTCAAAATTTAATGTTTTCTTAATAAAAATAGATATTATGTTCACTTAATCCCTGGTTTTGGTTTCCCTTTTTAAGATTTTGAGAGTAGTATTTTCTTCTTTGTAAAGGATGAAGCAGGGGGAAGTGGTGACCTTCTCTTACTAAGAGGACTTTGCTATAAGTGGGTGATAACAGCAATCTTATCATTTAAATCTAATAATTGGGATTCCATAAGATTGGAGGGGACTAATTACAACAAAAACAGATGAAGTAGGGTTTGGATGTTTGTAAACTGAAAAATGGAGTTCTTTCTTTCTTTTTTTTTTTTGAGTTCTTTCTTCACAATGATTTTTACTTCCAAGTAGCTCCAATACGTTGACACCTGATCTGAACAGCCGACTTATTGGAAAAGACCCTGATGCTGGGAAAGATTGAAGGCAAAAGGAGAAGAGAATAGTAGGGGATGAGATGGTTGGATGGCATCACCATTTCAGTGGACATGAACTTGGGTGAACTCTGGGAGATGGTGAGGGACAGGGAAGCCTGGCGTGCTGCACTCCACGGGGCCACAAAGAATCAGACACGGCTTAGTGACTGAACGATGATGACAGGCTTATTTAAAGGCAAGACAGCAAGAGAGTTGGGGCGTAATATATTTCACCTACCTCCTGGTTTCAGGAACAATTTGAGGAATCCACAAAGGGGCACAAATGTGTACAGAGGTATTAAAAGGGGAGACGGTTACAGAGCACCACTGAGTACGGCACCACATCCCGCCCCTCCCTCCCCTGCCATGCCTCTGGAGATGGCGTCAGCCATCAGAGGACCATGCGACTGTTACCAGACCAGCTCACACTGTGTGACGTTCTCCTGAAGTTGACACCATGTGGTGACCTTTTTAGGCCAATATTATAAGAATAAAGAAAAGTGGGTCGAGAGAAAGAAGATTTCCAAGAATAACAGAATACCAAAGATCTTCAGAAAGAAATAGCTGCAAAATCAGTGATAGTTTGCCAGAGTTCAGTCACTCAGGCTGGCTTGGAGTACAGAAGACGCAAGAAGCCCTCGAAGCTGCACAGTCCAGCCTGGAGCCCGAAAGGACACCTTCCTAACATAGCCATAGTTTGGGGGTCTTGTTTGTTTTTACCTGAATTGCTTCTGAAGCCTCCTAACCCAGTCTCCACCTCCAAGTGGTCATTGCCTCTCCAGGCCATCCTCAATATTCACCACAGTATTCCAGCTAGTCAAGGCTATGGTTTTTCTAGTCATGTATGGATGTGAGAGTTGGACTATAAAGAAAGCTGAGTGCCGAAAAATTGATGCTTTTGAACTGTGGTGTTGGAGAAGACTCTTGAGAGTCCCTTGGACTGCAAGGAGATCCAACCAGTCCATCTTAAAGGAGATCAGTCCTGGGTGTTCATTGGAAGGACTGATACTGAAGCTGAGATTCCAATACTTTGGCCACCTGATGCAAAGAGCTGACTCATTGGAAAAGACCCTGATGCTGGGAAGGATTGAGGGCAGGAGAAGGGGACGACAGAGGATGAGATGGTTGGATGGCGTCACCGACTCAATGGATATGAGTTTGGGTAAACTCTGGGAGTTGGTGATGGACAGGGAGGCCTGGCGTGCTGTGGATCATGGGGTCACAAAGAGTCTGACATGACTGAACGACTGAACTGAACTAAAGCTTCCTGAAATGCAAATAAGAGCCAAAGAGACTGCAGTTGCCTACTGTTCAGAGTCCTTAGGCAGGAGGATAAGACCCTCAGTGCTCTACCAATCTCTAATTTTGCTCCCTTCAAGAATATTTTATAACTGTACGAATATATTAGCTATCATGGCACATAACCTGCTTTTTCATCCTTCACTTTGCTTTTTTTTTTTTTTAAGCAAAAATAAGTTTATTTACAGAAAATACAATAATTACAAAGAGTATAAACTGAGATGATTTCTCCTCTTCCTGTGACAAAAAGTAATAGCCTTTACTTTCAGATGAGGGTTTCTGTTATATAATGCACACTGAGTGATCGGCTGCTCTTGTTTACGCTTTTCTAAATAACTGCAGGAGGCCTACTAATGATAGGTACATGGGTCATTTCCCTCAAATCTTATTTCCAGTACTATGCACAAGTCCAACACAACTGGAACAGAACAAGGTAAGACAGCATTGAACTGAAAAAGCTTTGCCCCAACAGTAAAGTGTGATTTTTAAGTATTAACCTAGTGGTTTAGAACTGAAACCTAACTTTGGCTTTAAAAAAAAAAAGTCCACTAGGATTTTTAATGGGCAGAACAATTCTACAGCCAACATCACCTGGCTAGCTTTCCACATTGGCCATTTAAGAAACAGATTTCTATAGTATTCAGTTCTGTGTGCTTTTCGTCTTACGGTTTCTAATCAGAGTCACTGCTGCTGCTTGAGGAGTCTGTTGACATAACCTCTACATCGTCCTCGTTTTCTTTGTTGTGCCCTGGAGGTTCCAGCAGAAAGTCATGACTGTGGTTTGGGGGCAACATGTTCATCGCCATGTCACTTGACTGCCAGGGATACTGTGGAGCAAGGACATCTGGCAGTCTGCCCGCTGCAAGTGCGTCCCCTGGGAGATGACCATTTACTCCATTAGTGGAAGGATTGTTCATCTGACCCAGTAATCCACTTCTCATCTCCAAATCAGTTGGGTATGGTCTCCGTGGGTCCCCTGGGACCCAGGTCAGTGGGGCACACACAGCATTACTTGCACTAATCCTATGTGCATACTTAATTATTTCTTCAGAGGAAATAGCACCTTTTCTTGCTTTTTCTATTGACTTGAGTTTTTCTTTTGCTTGGTAAACAGCTGTTGCCAGTATCTGTTCTGCTTCCTTTAGCTGTTTTTGTAGTTGCTGAATATCACTGTCTCTCTTTTCTACTTCTTTTTCTAAAACTTGCATTTCATGATGGATTTTTCCCTGATTAAGTGCCAATTTCATTAGTTCCTGAAATTCCCCATCTCTGTGAATTAACAACTCCAGGACCTGGTTCTCCTCTCCAGACTGTAGCAACTTTTGGTTTCTTGAAATTGCCAGCATTTCTATAAGTTCTCTCGACAAGACCTCCAGATCTTCCAGCGCTGACAGCAGCCGCTCTCGCGTGCTGTTACCGCCGGCAGCTCCTAAGCCGCCGCCTGGCCGCTCCTTCTCCTTCTCGCCGCTAGACGCCGCCGCCATGCTGCCCACAGACCAGCCTTCACTTTGCTTTTGAACATGTTCTTTCCTCTGCCCATTTGTCAGCCTTCACATTAGAGGCTATTTCTGGACTTCCTGGAGGTTCAATGGCTAAGACTCCATACTGCAAATGCAGGGGACGCAGGTTCAATCCCTGGTCAGGGAACTAAGATCCCACATGCTGTGTGGCACAGCCAGAAAAGAAAGAAAATGGTGGCGGGCAGCTATTCCCATGTATTGGAAACTACAACACTGGAGCAGTCATAAAGCACAAAACATACTTGTCCTTATTTTAAGTTTTATTCAAGTACAAGTTGCATGTCTCTGGCATGTCAGAAAAGAATAATCATCCAAGATTACTACAAGAGGTTAAGTAACAGCTCACATTTTAAATGTTTAAGTTCAGTTTAGTCGCTCAGTCATGTCCGACTCTTTGCAACTGCATGGACTGCAGCACGCCAGGCCTCCCTCTCCATCACCAACTTAGTTACTTTGAAATTACGCTGAGAAAATAAACCTATTCTTGAAAGTTTTGTTGCAATGAGGTAGGGGCCCCATAATGCTCATCAGAATGAAAAGCTTTACTGTTAGAGCAAAAGACATTCATTCAATTAATGTTTACTGAGTTTATAAATGAGACAAAGTCCCTTCCCCATTTAATTTCCCCATATACCTGGCAGCATAAACAACAGTAAACAAGTACGTTAAGTATCAAATGCTTTGTAGCTTCTAGAAAGGAGTTTGTATTTTACTCTGATGGGAAGCCAGAGGAGTGATTAGATCTGGTTTGTATTCATAGATTACTTTCACCACTATGTCAAGAATTGTCTTTGGGGAAGAGGTTAAGAGAGAAAGCCAGGGGACTAGGCGGGAGGCTATTGGCCTCATCTAAGCAAAAACAGATATAGTTCAGA